CCAAGCAGGCTCCGTGCTGTCAGCACAGAGCCCAACACAGGGCTGGATCTCATGAACCCTGAGATCATGACTTGAACTGAAATCGAGTCAGACGCCTTACCGAGTGAGCCACCCAGGTGCCCCGTCCGCTTTCCTCCCTTTCCTTTCTCCGGGCACGGCGCATGTCATGGGGTGGCCCCTGGACCGTCAGCATCAGCATCACATTAGAAAGGCAGATGCTGGGGCCCTGTTCTAGGTTTCCCAGACGGAGAGTCCTGGATGCCTGGAATTCAGGAAGGTTGAATGAAAAACGAAAGCAACCATTCAGGGACTCCCAAGAACATTCTGCTGCCCCCCCTCCAGAATGCCCCCCTCAGCCCCTTACTCGTGGTCTCTGTCCCATCCATGTCAGGGAAAGCAGTGTCCTTCCTGACCTCCGAGGTCTGTCCTCCACTGGACCCCGGAGTCTGTTGCCACATCCATTGTCCTCTCTCCTGAATCTCCATTCTCTCCCTTTCTATCACCTCCTCTCAGTTAACATCTGGACACATCCACACAGCAGCCCTTGACTCCCGGCACCACACCCAGAGCAGGCTTCCTGAGACGCAGACTGTCGGCAGCTGCCCGCAGGGGAGGGGGAGTGAAGATCCACTCCAGCCTCTCCTGCCCTCTGGGGCCGGATTCTCTGGCCTCTCCTGCCCTTTGGGGCCTGACCTCGGCCCCTTCCTACTGTTACCTTTAGCCCCCCGGGGTGTTTTGCTGTGTTCTGTCCCTCTGTTCCTGGCCTTTCTCCCCCTCCCCTCCCCTCCTGGCTAAGTCATGTCACCTCTCAGATCTCAGACGCTCTTCCCTTTGGGAAGCCCCTGCCCTCCCCTCACAGAATCAGGGGCTCCTGCGCTCCCCACATGATGGCACTGAGCGCCTCGGGGGTAAGGATCCTGCCTCGTCCACTTTTGTGGCCACGATGTCCAGCATGGCATTTGTGCTTCCAAATTACTAAAGAACAGATGACTCTAGAGAAGGAGGGGTGTCCTGGGGACAGGGGGGACCAGAACAGCCTTTCCAAACGCCGAACCTTAAAACCAAATGCCCCCTTTGTTGAAAGATGTAATACACCATTTCTTCTCGTGCTGTCGTCCTTGAGGAAAACCACAAGTCCGCCCCACAATGTAGGTCTTCCGTTTGACCTGCTTCAGAGCCGGCTGTGGACACAAATGTGGGTCGGACTTGTGTGCAAAATCCACCTGTACTTAAGTGTTGGCATTCCCCATGCAGCAAAATAGTACTCTAAATGGCTTCCTTGTTACTCAGCTGCCATCTGATACAGAAATGCTATAAAGCTACACTTAAATCCTAGAACGATCGAGAGTTAAGAGTCTACTACTCAGAAGCCATTCATAGTCTCGACTGTGCTGCTGCGTCTCAGACCTCAGGAGTGGGGAACCTGCCCATTTCACACACGGCTGACTTCTATCTGTAAGGGGTTTTGTGGGTTCAGTTCTTGGCCCGTCAGCAGCCATCACCCCTGTTTTACAGCCACACACGGAGGCACAGAGGGAGTCACAGATCTGCCCAGAGTCACGGAGCACATAGGAAAGATGCTTCTGGGTTTTTATCCCATATGCTCTCTTCACCTCTTCATTATGGAAGTGGAACCGGTGTGTTTCATTCACTAAAGTGCTAAGTGATGTTACCTGCATACTTCGCTGGGATGGCCTGTTCTTGTGTGTACGTTTGATGTCAGATACCTGTTTTCCAAGGATTGTAGGCATAATGCCTTGCCCCATACAGCTGTCCTGCCGACAGTATTTCTGACATGGGATCCCTCTGCTGGAATACAAACTGTGATGGGGGAACTTACTACCACACAAGGCAGCCCCTTCCGTGAATGCACACGTCTGATATTTAC